ACAGGTGAGGCGAAGAGGTGCTGCAGTGTCATCACAGGACGCCTCATGGCACTTTCTGGGCACGGCATGTCCTATCATTTGGTGGGCGATGCCCCGAGCCAGACGCGTCTGGTGGACAACGCCTATAGCCTTGAGGGAGGATGCCCTATCACTGCCTACACGGGTGGTTGCTTGGCAGGCCATCATGACCTAAGCACCCGCTGGAGGAGGCCGAGACATGCCCCCCAAAGGGCCCCCCAACGCCCGCTGGCTGGGGCTTCTCTCGGTGGCTCAACCAAGGCACGGCCACGCTATTACGGAGCCTCTGCGCCTGCGAGAAAGAGCTTCGACGTCTCTCAGCCTTTGGCACCCTTCCCTCTCCCTCCCCCCCCCTTGGATCAACCGCGTCGAGATAGGGGATACGCGAAGCATTTTGAGTCGCTCACCACTTTGGAGCATCAGAGAAGTAGACACGCCACTTTTTACCCAATACGAAGCACGAGACTAACCGCACGCGCAGGTGTTATATCTCTCCCTATCTTTTTTCCCCATCTCTGGAGAGCGTGTGTCGAGGCCCCAGCCAGGGGGGGCGCAACGGCGAAGCTCGAGCTTGAGGCCGGACGCAGAAAAACCCCGACCGCACCTCCCACGACGCGCACCGTCGCGATTGCGACCAACAGGAGCCCATCAGGTTGTTTTGGCACTATACCGTCGCGATAGGAAAACGACAGAGAAGGAGAAAGGAGGTGGTCGTGGCGGCGGACGTCGAAAAGGCAGAAGCAGAAGAAGAAGAGGATTTCGAGGAGGAGCTCCGCAAGATGGCCACGAGCACGCGAGCGACACGGTCGCGATTCTCGAGCCCGCTTCAGCTGCCTACGGCCAACACCAACGCGGGTCCTGGCCCGAGCCCTCTGGAGACGTCGAGGAGCTCGGTCAACGACGCGACGACCAAGACGTTCCTGCAGAAGTGGCTGGACCCCTTCCCGTGCCAGAGTAAACCGGAGCTATGAGGATCACGGGACTCGTGCGGTACGGCTGTCACCGAGGGCATGGTGCCGCTTGGCGAGATGCCCAAGTGGATTCCCATCGCGAAGAAGAAGGAAGGCCAGCCGGTGCGCAGGATCATTCTGAAGAAGAGCACGGCGCACCTCCAGGCAGCGCAGGCGACCGCGCGAGCCTCGGCCACAGCTGCCTCATCCACGCCGACGCCGCCGGCGACCAAGACGGAATTCGATCGAAGATCTTCTTACAGCACGGTTGCTGAAGGGGTGGAAACGACGGCTGTCGACAGCGACGGCGCTGGTGCTGATGCGGCCGCGTCGGTCGTGCTGGGAACCAAGCCAGAGTCTGGCTCTGGCTCCGCACCAGACAGTGTGACGCCCGCCTCCCCCTCTCCGCAACCTCTCGCCCAGGAAGCATCAGCACCTGCAGCCGCGGAAAAGCCCATGCGGCGAGCACTGCCTACCAACGAGTCGGACGACGAGCACGATCAGAAGAGCACCGGCACCAAGACAACGACGCTGCGCAATCCCCTGTCGAGGCGGAGCCTCAACAGAGTCTCTACGGGTCGACGCGCTTCCACTCG